CACCCACTTTATCAGTTGATTGAAAGCTATGTATAAGCCCCTGATGGTAGGACAAAGATGGTGATATATTGAAATTGGTTTATATCCTCGAATTTTTTTTTTTCATATCGACTTCTCGAAAGTAAACTCTTTGCCAGTCTAATTGAAATTACTCCTTTCATCTCGCTCTTCTTTAATCTATAGTGGATTGATCTCTTCACGAGAGACAAATAGATAAACGAAGAGCAAGATAAAAGCTCTACTATTAAGTAGATTGATTCTTTGCATTGTTATAATGAGCAGGTAGCCTATCAAGGATTGAAATTCATGCCCCCTCGGTCTTATTTGGGCCCAGGGTAGGAATCAGATGATAAAGTTCGGTTTACAATGTACTTTTGATAATAATATTAATTACTGAACATTTAAGAAGCATAATGTACAGTGTATACAGGTACCTAAAGCTCTGTTCCAAAAGCGGAGGATGATGTATAAGTTGATCAAAAAAGAAATCGAAAATGCGATGTATCTTTATCTTCCGGAAACAAATTTAAATTTATAAAGATAACTTAAAAATCAAAGAGATATTGATCATATCCGATATAAGAAGCTTATGATACGCAGATAACCTTCAAGGCCTTTGGACCTATTGTTTTAAATAGAAGCTCACATGCATATGAAGTTAATAGCTCTCAGTTGATTGATAGAGCAAGAGCATGTTCTATAGTACAATTACTAGTATTAAAAAAAACGAGATGCATGTAGACTATTGAAAAAAGTTAATGATAAAGGGTATAAAAAATTAGCTTATGTCAACATTTCAGAAATTCTATGGTCGATACAAAGGCCTTGATTGAAAATATACTCAGTCGTTAGGTCCAATGTTGACTGACGTTCTCAAACGTATTCTTAGGCCATTATTTTCACACAGAATTTTCTACGGAGTTTTGTGTGTAACCGATCATACAAGGCACAAGGCGGGTATGACCACTCGGCAAAGGATGTCTATTACTCTTTGTCGCCTGATTCCTCCTCTGTTTTCAAATGTTCGTAATGCTTATAGTTTGCATTGTTTAAATAGACTTTTGAGGATAATAACTATTAGTATTAGTTTCTTATATGTTCCGTATTTCGAAAATTTATTAAAAAAAGACGATAACTGTAACCTTATAACAAAACTAACGAGGAACGTACAATAAACACATCATCTGGATACTAGTATGTTGAATGTGTCTCCCAATTGATTCGATACGCAAGAACATGCTCTACGTACAAAGAATTTCTAAAACGAGGCAACCTATTCACAAACATGATGAAATAATATCAACAGTCTCGTTTAAAATCTACATTTCTTAAATTCTTGGTCGATACAATGATATGTCAGCAAATACAGTTTATGAAAAGTCGAATGCTGACTGGCATTTACACACTGAATTGTCTTCGGATGTTTTCGTATGACCGATCAGAACAAGGAGCACATGGCAATAGTGATCGGTCGGTATTTGATGCCTTCTTCTCCATGTCACCTAATCTCAACTCTAATGATTTTAGATTTACATGCTTTCTCCGAAACAATTTTGTTTCGAAGTCGTTTACTGTTCCTTATCTCCACATCAGACTGCAAAGTTCCAAAACTACGTGGCATGCGTTTAAATATCTGCATTTGCATTTTTTTGGTGAATATTTGGATTTAAATTAACTTATGGCACGCCAAATTCACAAAAATGAGATAATCATCGTTTCACAATCGATAAACTAGGTTTATCGGTTGTAAACTATAAGTTTACAAACCGTAAACTATAGTTAACAACGTTAATCTACATTTCACATTTGTAAACCATAGTTAACGCGATAATCTATGTTTCACAACCGTAAACTATACCTAACACCGAAAACAATAATTTGCGATTGCAAAACATAGATTATCTGATAAATACAGTTTCACGATTTGTAAACTATAGTTAACTATAGTTAACGATCTGATAAATATAGTTTCACAATTTGTGAAACTATGATTAACAACTCTTAACTATAGTTTACGATTGTAAACTATAGTTTACAAACGTGAATCTATGTTTATCAACAAAATCTATTGTTAACGCTTTATTACAGACAGATAAACTTAAATTAACATTCGTAAACTATAGTTAACAACCGTTAAATATAGTTTTACAGATGAAAACTATACTTAACGAATCGTTATCTATAGTTTACGGTTTGTAAACTATAGTTTACAGTCGATAAACCTAGTTTATCAATTGTGAAACTATGATTATTTCATTTTTGTGAATTTGGCGTGCCATATTAACTTTATGAAAAGCTTTTCATTTTAAAGAGTGTAAACAAAAAAAAAACAAAAAAAAAACAAAAAAAAAATTCGGTTCTTCAATATACGAAGAGTCGATATTGTCACAATGTTTCCTTAGTGCAAGGCATAATGACGTATCTAAAATTAGTAAAATGAAAACGCAAGGCAAATATTTCACGATCAGTTTATTCTGTTGATAAAGTGAGTTTACATTAA